GAAGGAAAATATTGATGAAAATTCGATGGAAGATCATAAGTTCCATTTATATGAAGATATTTCAATTTGCTACAATTGAGACGTGCTGCATTGTTAGTAAAATTATTTGTTACTTTTGTAAGTGTTTTGTATCTAATATTGAGAATTAATAAACGAGGTAGATGAGTATTTTGTTCCAGAAGAAACTGTTTAGCATAAATCATATGTGCTGGCTTCAGATCGAGAAAAATAAGATGAGAAAATGTAATCAATGTAGACGAATGTTGCTTATTTTTTTGTGGTTTTTTGTTACATATAGATAACTTTTCGAGAAAAGGAAAATCTTGTGAGATGATTTTAAATAATTCATGTTCAAAAGGACGATCATCAGTCATACTTAAGTATCGAACTTTATTAAACATACCACCTCGAAAAGAATTGTTAAGATGAAGAAAATTTTCGAATTGATAAGGAAGTGAATAAATATGACATCTTCCTTGATCTTCGATTACTGTAGAATCGGCATAGAAACCAACTTGTTGATATCCTCTCTCGATAAAACTACGTTGAATGTCTTCATTAGATGGAAGATCAATGTTAATATTCTTCTTGATAGCAGCTGTATTTATATTGAAAATAAATTTATTTAATAGTGGCATATGAATTCGAATATCTTCATGTAAATGTGTACCATCAATATAAGTTAAGTCAACTCTTATTACCGACAAAGATAATATTAATTCTTCAAGATTTATCATACGACGAAGTAATGGAATAATTTGATTATCATAATGATATGTATAATCAATCGAGATCAATGAAAAGCATTTCAATTTGAAAAGTTTTTTCTATAAAAAAAAATAAAAATTTAAAGAATCCTCTATCTATTTAGTTTAGGATGTTTCTTCAAAAACCACACAATGATCAGAAATATACTTACCATATTATCTATATTTGATAATGTACGAGAAATTTTCGATATATTTATAATCAAGGTCGATAAATTATCGAGACATCCATCAAGAAGGTAAAGACAAGCATCAAAACTATTGACATTTATTTTCAATTGAGTCAATGTTAAAGACATACAATTTATTGATGGTAAAACAAACATACTAATTGACCACATTTGATCAGGAAACAATTGACAAAAATCCAACTTGATTAATCGTTTACATAAAGATAAAATTAATACGAATACATTTGGTAAAGTTTCAAAAAATATTGTTTCAAGAAATATTGGTGTTATCTTATTTTGAATACTAATATTAAGATGCGTGATTTGTTCAACTAGACGACGTTGAAGAATTGAATTATCTTCAATTAAAAAAAAAAGAAACCATGACAATTATTAGTTCATATCTAACAATTTCATTATTTCGTTGATTAAAACAAATAAAATTAATGTTACCTGTTAAATATTGATGAAGCATTTCTTCTTTAAAATTAATAAATGATAATGAGAAAAGTTGAGGATAAAAATTGACATTAAGAAGAAGATGTTCTATTGAATATGGTTCAACAGTAAGTTTATTTACATAATAATGAATTCGAGGTAAAACTTTTTTACAAATTCTATCGAGAACTTGATCAGATATTGATGAAGTATCATCAGACGATGATTTCAAAGTTATATCAAGATTACGAATATAAAGAGGATCAAGTACTAATCGATCAAATCGTTCATTGACATTCACAAGTGAATAAAGAACATCAACCATATTCAATTTGTTGAAAATGTTCAGTAAGATTTCATTGGGTAAATCAACTATATTGATAAAGTTCTTTTTGAAAGTTTTCATGTCTAACTGATAATGTCTAATTTCTTTCCATTTATATATGTCTTCATTGACATACGTGAGAACAATGAAGAATAATTATTAATGTCGCAATTTTAGGCTATGATAAATGCCTAAAGAGCATTGTTCTTTCTGCCTAACATTTTCCATTATTCATCAGTAGCTTCTTTGTTAGGTCATTGCTTTTTGTTTTTTACTATGTTTCTCGTATAGAATATCATGTTCAAAATAAACTATAGTATATCAATCAGATATTAGAAAATAGATTGTCAAACATATTATTCAATAAAAGACTATGCTTTATTTTATTTGACTAATGTCAAATAAGAACCAGAAATAGTGATTTGTTTGATAAAATCTAGAGATTTATGAAATCAAAATCGAAAGTTTACTTTTGATCGAGATTAAAGTTTGTAGTGACATGTTCTATTGTTTCTGAGTGAATTGTGTTTTTTTTGTATAGTATACTAAATCAAAAACATAACATTATTCAAAAAGGGCAAAACCAAATATTTCGACATTTGTTGACTCAATAAATCAAAGAATATGAAAACTTAAGAATGACTATCACCGCAAGAAAAGAAATTACTACACAACCGAGACCAACAACATCTTAGTTGAATCACTTTGAAATTACTAATGTTCATACGAAGTAAGATCAAACAATAGTGTTCATTCCATTTTTGATTCTGTCAAATTGTCTTGAGACTTGTTTGAAAATTTTTCTTAATTTTAAATTAAAACGCAAATATATTGACAAAAAAAAACGAGTAATTGTTTAGCTGGTACTCCACTTTATCGGATATGTGTGTGTGTGTATGTGATAGAAATGAAATACCACATCTATATGGTTATGATGCGTTTTTGTTTATATAGTACAGATTTAACATAGAAATGAAACTGAAATTAGAGAATATGCTTTGAGAATATTTTGATGTAATTAAACATTTATAATAGCTAGCGAAAAATATTTCATATCAATAGTTTGATAAAACAGAAAAGTAAAAACGAATCAAGATAAATAAAAATTTGACTTGAAGCAATCTATCACTATACTATTGTTGTTATATTGATTTATGTTCAGTTTATTTCAAAACAAACTCTCATACATGTTCAGATGACTAGTTTATACTCAAATCATATTTATAAATAAAATTTCCTCGTTAGTATCAATACATTGTTGAAAATTTTTCTAAATGAAATTTACATATAATTTAATATATTATTATCAATTAATCGTAAATAACATAAACACATGCTTAATAATATATATGACAGAGTTCCGAATAGGATAGAATAATCTGATTCTATGAGACAAAGTTTTCTCAACTATTTCATGAGATTTGATATGGTAAATTGCTCGTTTTATGGGACTTTATTTTTTCTCGTATGAACACGTAGATTTTTTTCTGATGTAATATTTACTGAAGAAATTTTATAGTAATGCTTGATATAAAAAAAAGGATTTATTGATATTCACGTTTCAGGTCCTTTTCTTCAATAGACAATATACCCCCGGAAAAAAATTTTTAGACTCTGTATTTTGAATATATTTTCATTATAGTACTGTACTTTTTAAAAAATAATTACATATTCTGAAAGCTCGTGGAGTTTTCTATTATTCTATATAATTAGATTATAGTTTAGGTCTATTCATCACCGAAATAAATTAAATTCAATGAAGGCACCCTCATATCCAGATTCCCAAGGATTCGTTTTTTTCACAATGATCAAAATTAGTTTTTTAAATTTTTTATCACTATAAAATTATCTTTTTAAAAAGGCAATTATATTTTCTGATAGAGCTTGAAATTCTCTATCTTCCTATATATTTGTCAACTGTCTTGCATTTACGTATTGTAAAAATAATTTGAGTACAATGAAAAAATCCTTAATCGACAAGTGTCAAAAATTTATATTTTTTTCAGTGGTTTTTTTAATTATTACTACCAAAGAAATGCTTGGATAGATGGATTCATTAACACATGAATAGAGCACATTTTCATTGAGTATCTGTTCCATTTTCACTACGATTCTATAGTGTGGTTACTAAGTGATCACGTGGAGAGACACGTGACCATCCACTGGCCAGTATTTGGTGTACATTCTAGAACTTTCTGCGGTTCTCTATATCTTACAAATTGAGTCATCTACCAATCGATAGAACTTGACTTGCTCTACAATACTGTATATGTAACATGTCTCGATGATTTCAATTTAGAATTGAAAAAGTTCAAAAACAGTGATATTTCGGTATTTTGTACATATATCTTGGTCAAAAATCAATTTATAACCCATTTAATTCTACATCGAATCATACATTTGACATTATTTCGAAATGTTCTAACGCTGAGATAGTCAGACTTGAATATCGACGGGTAATATCATATTCAGAAGTGTATGATCGAGTGTTTCTCAAATATGTAACTTCCATAATATGAATGTTTTAAAAGGAATCAATAAAAACTGCTTGAGTTCTGGAATTCTATGCATAAGAGAATTCCCTGAAGTATTCATGTAAGCAAAGATTTTAGGTTGAAATTCCACAATAAGATTTTATCGAAAAATTGGGTTCACATAGGAAAAAATGTGCTAAAAATAGACATAAAATCTTTTAATCGCCTGAGAATGTTTTCTCATACGCTATTGAATTTTGCACATAGAGACAGGTCATCTAGACTAGCTTCCAAATATTGCACATGGTGGGTGTGGGTATGAGTATACTGATGACAGAAGAAAAGATACACAATCACGTCGTAGACAATCCTTTTTAATGAATCAGTAAAATGAAAATGAAAAGAAGAGTCAGAAGAAAAATAATTTTCTTAATTTTCACACTGCTCCTTCGCACTTGTTCATGTCCTATTTAACAATTTTACTCAGTGACTAATGAGAATAGCAAGAAAAAGAAAGCTTTTTCTTCAACGAATGATACTAATATATTATTCAACTTGTCTAAATAAGTTACTTTATATTGAAGATTGATAGATATTTTAAGGTGTGAGTGAATGGTATTTTTTAGGCTATCTAGCTTGGTGTTGCATAGTTGGAAAGAGTAGACTCCAATGCATCTTTCTTTATAACTCGTTTGAATCCACAAATACTTTTTTTGACATTCTAATTCCCGATACATTGAATTGACGATACATCATAGTAATCTTGGTAAAGAAAAAAGATCCAAAAAGGCGGTATGAAGATGTCAAAAAATTACCATACATACAGCTGAACTCCGGCTAGAATTTTGTATAATGAGAGCTGGAATGTCAAAAAAAAGTCGTAGAAAAAACATAAAAAATAATATACCGACATATAAACAATTGTGAAAAGATGTCTGTGGTCTCAAATAAGTGATACAGAAAAATGCATTAGAGTATGTTCTTTTCAACTACGCAGTCCCAAGCTCAATATCGTAAGTCGATCAAAAGTTATTCAAAAAATGGTCATGTCCATGTAACTCTCAAATGAATATCAGACTTTTTTTATTGAACATAAAAACAAACTCGAATATATTTTCTTTCATTTATTTTTAGTAGATCATTTCGATAAAGATATTTTATTTAAGAAAAAAGTTTAAAAAAATCCGAATGTCTCTTCCTGCCAACAAGTGATTTATTGTTATTAATCATTCAATGATGAATCAATTTGATCTAATTCATGTATTCTTGCATTTTCATGTTCTCGAATTATTTTATCATTATCTTCATATATTCTACCTATTGTTTCAGTTTTGTTATTTTCATTTTGATTTGATTATTATTGACTTTGTTTTTCGATGATAAATCTTTCTGATGGTTTTACTTCTCCTTTCATTATCGTTATTATAAAAGTTCTCGAAAATGTTACATTAAATTCATATTTTTCTATAGTAGAATAAAAATTTTCATTATCATGATGATTATATACAAAAGATATTCATGTAAGAAAATTCATTTTCATAATAGGTTTTTACTTTGAAACTCTTGTTCAAGAACCTAATTTCTTAGATTAGTTGGTGGCTAAGTATTTTCATTATTAAAGTCTCGTGAAGGAATTGAAAATATGAACAATCGAAGAAAAGTCGATCGAAATCAGCAAAGATTTGTTTCAATTGGAAAAACTAAACCATCGAATAGAAAAAAATCATCAGTATGATCTTCTGCTTTAGTTTTTATTATTTTTACTTTTTAAATACTGAAGAAAACTATGAAAAGTATATCTTTAACCCTTTGAGGACGGGATTACTTTGAAAAAAAAGGGATTTCCGAAAATCTAAAATGATGTATCTATTAGAAACAAGATCAATGAGGGCGTAATACACAATGTGTATTACACATGACAGTGTCATACTACATAGGACATGGCAGATCTATGGCTTGTGCAGCATATAGATTGTAACAGTATCATAAGAGACATATGCGTAAGTCAGTTATCATCCGGTCCAGAGCCGTTGCCTATATATAGGCTTCCCGTCCCCAAAGGGTTAGATATTTGGTTATCTCTTAGTTTACAACACTGTCAACAATCTAATAATGAATCGACATTCTTTCTTTTTGGGGTGTGGGTGTGGGTGTGTGAGTATGTGGGTGTGGGTGTGAGGTGTGGGTGTGGGTGTGGGGTGTGGGTGGGTGTGGGTGTGAGTGGGTGTGGGTGTGGATGTGGGTGTGTGGGTGTGGGTGGGTGTGCGTGTAAGTGTAAGTGTAAGTGAAGAGAATACCAACACCCACACCCACCCACACCCACACACCCACACACACACCCGCACCCACACCCACCCACACCCCATACCCACACCCACATGCCACCCACACCCACACCCTCACCCACCCACACCCCACACCCACATGCCACCCACAACCACACCCACACCCACAACCACACCCACACCCTCACCCACCCACACCCCACACGCCACCCACACCCCACATCCCGCCCTTCGTAGGTTT